CATTGGGTGAGGTTGTTACACAGTATGTTGTAATGATATCAGGCAGGCTTAATGCTTTCAGACTACATTTAATACTTTTTTACATGTGAGGCTTGCTTATTTATTTGTTTATATTAGACCACTTTAGTTGCTCTACTGTGCAGTTTTTCTTCTGCAAGGTGAATTGTTACTTAAAAGCAATATGATAATGTCTCATTTTGTGTGAATACGTCTGTAAGAAACTATAACAAGTACAGCAAGCATTTTGTGTTGATATGTTATCTTTTTTCAAACTTCTTATTTAGTTCACTGATATTTCTTATATCTCATTCGATTATACTGATGACTGGGTTGTTTTTGTTTTGTTTTGTTTTTGTTTTTCTGTTGTTTGTTTGTTGTACCTGGATTTTTAAATCACATAAATGTGCTCTGTTAATTTAAATCCCAGTAGTCCTAGTGCAGGCACACCTGTTCGTTTTCTCAGTTGGAATATACGTGGTATGGGTATTCCTACTAAAAAATCCAAAGTTTTTAATCATCTGAAAAGGCTTAATTCTGATATAATGTTTTTGCAGGAGACTCACCTTAGACTGAAAGATCATCATAGGCTCCACTCTCCGTGGATAGGTTAGGTCTTCCACTCTAATTTTAATTCTAAAGCAAGAGGGGTTGCTATTTTAATTAATAAAGGAATTTAGTTCTCACCTACTGATGTTATTGCTCACAAAAACGGAAGATATCTCATAGTTGCAGGAACATTAATACAATCAAAAGTCTTGTTAGTGAATGTGTATGCACCCAATTTCGTATTAATTCGTATTCATATTATTTTGTACATTGGAAGCCCAGTCATGCTGTCCTTCATCTTCTATACCTGCTCTTATATACTCTTCACTTCCAACCAAGCTTTCAATGTATGTTAAAAATCCTGTTATGCTTAATACTTTAAAGATTTGGTATCAATTCAGAAGACATGTAAACTATGTAGCTGCGTCTCCTTCAGGGCCACTCTGTAATAACCACCTGTTTCCTCCCTCATATTTGGACTTTTTCAGTATAGTACAATAAGGATATACATTGTTCCCTAGATCTGTATTCAGATGATATTTTCAACAGTTCACTTATTTATCATCTTTTATGGATTGTCTGCAAACTAGGGCTGCTCAATTAATCGAATTTTAATCGTGATTACGATTTTGGCTCCAGACGATCTCAAAATTCATATAATCGAGGAAAAACGATTATTTGGTGTTTCCGTTCTGAGACGCGCATGCGCAACTCAACAGCTACGCCCCCACCCCCAAGTGTGTGGAGAGTGGAGATCCAGGCCGGCGATTTAAGCACGTGTAAAGATGACAGAGGGTGAGGCTGAGCAGCGTCGCTTGGTTGATAAAAAAGGTAGAACCACTTCATTTGTTGAAGTATCTGTCTCTTATTGTATTTTATTTATTTCTTGTTTTCAAAAGATTGAGTGCAGTAGCCTACAACAGTTTAGGGTTCGACATTAACGGTTGCCCGAATGCCCGAGGCAAGTAAAAATATCCGGCGGGCCAGCAGTCCCTGCGCAGACATGCCCGATCGGGCAAGCAGCACCGACTCGGATTTTTTATTTTTATTATTTCTAATCGCAGGGCAGGAATTATACCACGGCCAAACGGCCAGTGCCGTGGAGTCCCCGGTGTGTGGCCGTAATGCCCCTCCTACCCATACGGCCAGTGTAGCATGCCCTGTTTTTTTATGACAAACAGCATAGCAAGGCTACGGCTAAGTTAACATAACGTTACTGACACTCCGAGACACATGCACACACACATAACGTTACCGGACAGCCTCTCAGTCCTTAGCCGCTAACGTTAGCTCATGTTAGCACAGTTACCACACAGAAACTTTTACAAGGGAAGCATAATGTGCTTCTAGTGACTGTCAAATTGCCAGCGAAAGATGTTTACACTGCGTACACGGAGATGGGACAAAGATCCTCTGAGAAGGAAGATGGTTCACTCTGCTCTGCCGCCAGGAACAAACTGGGAGGCAAAGATCATCTCTAAGGAAGAGGGTTCACTTTGCTGCAGGATTCACCAAAACGTTTTTTGTTTTTTCTTTTAATAAACTGAACACATTAAAGAACATACAAGATTCTGTAGATAATTAATACATATAATACAATAAACATTGTCAAATTAAATGAAGGAAGAGGATTTTTTTTAAAGGCAAATAAAATATTGGGAATTTATGTAAAAGTATACATAGAGACATATGAATAATTATATAATTAAAGATATGTAGGCTATGTTAGGTGAATACACCTGTCAGTGACCCTGACCACTGGCATTGGCAAAAGAACTGGAGTTGGTCCCTGGATGCTGCATTGCAGCTGCCCACTGCTCCCAGTGTATACAGTAGGATGGGTCAAGGGCTGAGATAACAACAGAATAAAGAGATTTCAAAGACTTAAAAAATAAGGGACATGAATCAAAACAGCAAGAAACGAGATATATCCCCAGTCATGCACACCCAGTTTTAATAAACTCAATACTGTTTTTCAACACATATATTGTTTTGTCTTCATTCAATGTAATTAGCACATAGTTATTGTGCCATTTGTTTTGGCCTTGGTGCCCCACATTTTGGCCATGATGCCCCAATAAATTTGTATTTATCAATGGCCAAAGTGGCCTTGCCCTAAAAATGACTTAATTCCAGGCCTGTAATCGTGTATTTCCTCTCCTGTTTCTGTCCTCGGAGGGGCCAGTTGCAGTGTGCTGCTTTTTTATGTGCTGCTGCCTCCATTGGCTGATCATCTCTGCTGACGTAAGATATAAGTTATGAGCGAAAATATGCACCACACAGCCAGAAAAAGAACCTCTTACGCAGGGCAAGTAAGAATTTAGATGGGGCAAGTAGATTTGAGAAGTACTTGCCCGACAGGGCAAGTAGGAAAAAACCTTAACGTCGGACCCTGCTACTACATTACAAGATATTTTTATATATTTAACAGGAGAGTGTTTTTTAACATGTTCAATAAATGCTGTTCCAAACATGTTCAATAAATGCTGTTCCAAATTCAAAGACATAATCGTGTAAATAATTGTGATTTCAATATTGACCAAAATAATCGTGATTATGTTTTTTTCCATAATCGAGCAGCCCTACTGCAAACCATTTTTTCAGATATCTCCAAGTTAGACACTTTGTTTCCAAATGTTTCTCTAAATTTCCTTCTCCACCTCCTCAACAACAATGGGATAGTTTGCTCACTTTTAAGATGCAACAAAAGGGGATTGTTTCAGAGACATACAATCGCATTTTGGATCTCTGTGATCAGTCTAATTCGAAAATAAGAGCTGCTTGGGAGGGAGAACTGGGATTTCATTTGTCAGTAAAAACTAAAAGCTGAATAAAAATGATTGTAACCTGGATTGTTTCCTTTTTTTCAGCCAGAGAGAAAAGTTCAGCATCTGACTTGGCAGGAGGGCTTTGACTAAAACACTGCGTTACATCAGGTATTTACCTTACTCACCTTCTTCCTAGTTTAAATACACTAAAGTGCATATTAAAGGATTACTTCACCCACAAAACGACGATTTGTTAATCATTAAGTCATGCTGTGTTAAAGGTGAAGTGGTAAGATTTAGAGAAATTCAGTGGTGTCTGATGGTGAATTGCAGATTGCAACCAGCTAAAGCATTGCATGTATTTGTGAAGTACTGAGCATACAACTGGATAAGTGAGACCTGGGTTATAATAATGGTGAAATCATAAAACCCAAGAGAGACAGATGTTTTTCTGCAGGCCACAACCAAGCAGTGATGTTCTGTTCTCTGCTTGAATAAACATTTTGTTAAAAAAAACCTTTCAGTAGTTTAACAAGAAACTGTAGTCACCTATATCTCAAAGCAGGAAGTCTAATGTTGTGTGTTACTTCAGCACCCAGCATTAACTTTGATTGCTACAACCTGAGATCTGATCCCCTCTCAGCTTGACACCCCAGCTACATCCGCCTGTCATCAAGCTGGGAGCCAGAAAAAGGAGGAACTCATGGTGATACAGTGTCAGCCGGATTTTTAGGCTGAGGGTGTCAGGGCATCTGTGTTGTGACATTCAATCCCATGAGGCTCTGACGCCAGCACATGCCACACTGGTTTCTCCCTCAGTGCTGTCACTCTGCAACAACAAGGTCATCTCTGAACAGCTTTGAAAGAAAAACGCTTTTTCCTGCTTAAACTATCTTTATTATACACTATCTCTCTAATCTTACTCCAGGATCTGGCAAAGGTTTTGCAATTCTTGCAGCACAAAAAGATTCAATTTGCACTAGCTTTTCTAAAAACAAAGTAATAACATGTACAGCAATCTTTTTAGTGTTTGAGTGTCTCATTTTTTTGGTTTTCACAGTGCATAACTATACTTAACCAGTGGCTTCATCATGTATATATGCGTAACTGTTTCCTGTCTGAACTGCTGTGCATGTAAATAGAACTGGTGTTCCTCATTTTGAAGTCAGCTGCTTCACACTCTGTACTGAGAAATATTTACTACTTACTCCATTTAACAGATTATAGAATAGAGAGAAATAAATGTCGTTCATGTACAACATCACATCTTATCAGGTTTGCTAATGCTAACACAGCCAGAGTAACTATATGTAAGAAACACCAAGAGGGGCAAGAATTAGCTTCTAAGTCTTGCTCAGTATATCACAGTTAGAGAGAGGTCACAGAATTTGGCTTAACCAAACTTTCAAATCTAAGCAGTCATATGCAAGATAATATATGTGTTTTTTCTAGGACACTTCACCTGTATTAACATGATTTGTCAACAATAATCTGTGTGATTGTGTTTACAATGCAAAAAGTAGTTTGTCCGTGTCTTTGAAGAGCTTGGGTTGGATCAGAAGTGTTAATATTGACACAGTGCGTGTGACTTTTGGATGTATATTTGTGTCAATTGATTTGTCTTGACTAACTTTTCTATTGACGATCATGCAGGTGTGAGTTGGGTGGAGGTGCAGAGCAGCAATCATGGTGGCCCTGTCACTAAAGATCGGTGTGGGGAACGTGGTTAAGACAATGCAGTTTGAGCCCTCCACCATGGTGTACGATGCCTGTCGTATCATCAGGGAGAGAGTTCCTGAGGCACAGCTCGGCCAGCGTGAGTTTTCTCTTCCTCTCTTTCTTGCTCCAGCCACACACTCGCACATGCATGCATGCACACAAATTTGCAACACTACAACCTTTCCAGTATTTGGATTTTAGGATCATTGGATGGGGGGGCTTATGTCAGACAGGTCCTGTAACTTTTAGAAACTGACAATCCAACTTTCACACCTACGTCACATCGTGATTAGTCAAACACACATAGGTAAGAGAAGAACCAGGGTCTCAGGCTGTCTTTTTAATGCCTCTGCACCTGAGATAGCTGTGGCAGGAGGCATTATGTTTTTGGGTTTTCTGTCTGTCCGTCCCTCCGTCTGTCCGTCCGTCCGTCCGTCAGTCAGTCTGTCCATTGCTCCATTGCAGTGAGTGCATTATCTCAAGAATGCCTTGAGGGGATTTCTTCACTTCTGGCATAGGCGTCCACATGAATTTAAGGAGGAACTGATAAGTATTTCAAAGGTCACTGTGACCTATTCCGTGGCATTCTTGTGAATGTCGTATCTCAAGAACACCCTAGTGGATTTCTTCAAATTTGACACAAATGTCCACTTGGACTGAAGGATAAACTTGAAGTGTCCACGTTTTCACAGGCATGAATGTAAAGTGTAGCTGCAATTTGACAGTTTCGTGGAGGCATACAACTACAAGGTGGAAATTCTAGTTTTATTCTTATCATAATCATGTCATAATTATTTCACTTTTAAAACATTTAAATAATATCATGTCTCCTCCCACTCTATGATGGCTGACTTTTCACCCCTCCCTTCCAGCATGGTTGTTTATAAAAACTATAAACAGTTGTGCTTTCTGATGAGGTCAGACAACATTTAATATGAACTATATTTTCTTGCGTACCTCAATTCTTATCCAAGCCATCTGGTTGCCCGTTTTGCAGGTAATAAAAAAAAAACAGCTTTGCACATCCTGCATTTTTTGAAAATATGAAAACCTTTCAAACAGCACTCAGCTGATGGTAGGGTATAGTGGCGGAGGGAAGTTTGGCCCTTATATTCAGCATGTAAAACAGCTTTAGGCTTCTGCAGCTTTTTGTGGATAATTATGAGCTCTGATCTAGGATAGAATGAGCATTAAAGACCAGAACTACTTGGTTTTCTAGTGACTCAGGTTACAGTAAATTAACACACCTGGTAATCATACAGGAGCATATCAAGCTGTTAAGCCAGAAAGCCCCCCAAATGGGGGACTTGTAGAGTGACTGCAAGCACAGTGTGAAACAATACACTGATCACGAAGAATGTAGTGATGTTGCACATCAAATTAAACAGCAAAACCTGGGCTACAAGGCTGTAAAAACCCTTTTACATGCCCCAAACACAGCTCAAACAACAACTAAATAAACAAAAACAAATCCAACTCCATACAGCACCGATATTCCAACCCACTAGGTATATTTCAGGCTCTAACTCGACCACACGTTATGCAAAACACACGGCGTTCATCTCAAATGAAAGCTGAGACTCCGCTGTTTCCACTCTACCAAAGCACTCTACCCCAAAGCATCAGAGAGCTAGAGGCCAAAGAACAACAACAGAAATCTTTTCGCGAAAATATATTTGTTATATCTCTCTTACCTTGTTGCTTTTGCTGCGAAAAGCTCATTCTGCCGTTAACTCGCGCTTCATTCCAGTTTACCGACTTGTTGTCCGTCATTCAAATGAATCCGGGCAGAAAAACTTGACTGCCGGGAGAAGCATAACAATGACCACTCACAGCAGCCGACATCGCCCCACAACGCGTTCCGCTGACTCTGATTTGCTTACAGTGCTGTCAATATCGTCTTGGTGGGTATAGCGTCATTCTGTTGGCTCTAACAAATCCAGTAAGGTGTCAATCACTCAAATCGGCCAAGCCGTCACGGAGATATGGGCCTCCACAACTCAGAATAGAAACTCAGTTTCAAATGTAGTAGGTGTGTATTGGTCAGTTTGGAGTGGGAAATGGAGGAAAAAAACAAAACGGACAGTTGTATGTGTATATCCTAAACATCATTAGGGATTTACAGAAACAAAAAATGAAAGATATAGGATTGTACATGACAAAAATCACATGCAAACATGGTGCAATTTTGGAGAGCTTGCCTGAATTTTCTGTACTAAAACCTCTTTAATATTGTTCTGCTTCACTTTATCAGAATCAACCTTTGCAGAGTTAATGTTCACATATTGTAGCCTACTATGATTTGATAGAGGTTTAGAGCTACAGCTGCATCATTCCAAAGGGATACTCATCCTGAAAATGCTTTTTTTTTTAGGTGAACCTCAAAATGTTTCATTTGTGCTGTGTGCCATCTTCATTTACTCTTCACATATAACACATATACTGATATTTACACATCTTAACAAATCTCAGTGTTAATCAAAGTGTTCCATTTACCATGACACCAAAAGTATTCAAATAGACCTTGTGGTTGCAGAGATATATTCATTTCATTATGGATATAAAATTTTGGAGCAGAGGCCTATAAAATACTGTAGGCTTAGCTTTGAAAAGGTTAAGAGTGATTCTCTTCACATGTAAATTACTGTTGTTGTCAAAAATAATGTCGCACAACTTCACAAATTGTCGTAGTCCAACAATACTCTGTGAAAACACACTGTGCTTTCCAGTCCCCATACTACCATACTATATGCCAGAAAAATATTTACTATACATAGTATGTTAAATGCAGTTTGCCAAAATACCAGGATGTTCAAATACGTCCAGTCTGATTTTGATGTATGCAAGCCAACATGATTTTCTGGCTATTCTGACCCACAATCGTCTGTGAAGCTGACGATTTGTCACATTGAGCCACAAACAGATTACATCTTGACAGCTGATTGACAGCTGTCAGAAGTTGTAATGATGGATGACAGCAAATTCAAGTGACTGATGACCAGCTGATTTATAATAATAGGAGTTGAGCTGTTTAATTGAATAAGATAATGATAATATAACCAACAGCAAAATTGTATAATTTTTAAATAACAGTGACAGAGAAATGTGTAGCCTCTGTTATTTTACTGTCCTGAATATAATATGTTAGAATCTACATTGTTTGCAGTTCCTAGTTATTGCAAAATAACAGCATCAGAGCTCTCCTCGTTCTGCAGGCAGGCATGTGGGTGGGCAGAGGCACTAACACATTAATGTACTCACTTACTTTTGAGTTTATAGCGCTGACTTTGTATCCTGCAGTCCAACAAAAACGTTTTGAAGATACTAATGCAACCAACGCACTAACTTCCTAAAGACAGCAAATATTTGGAAGTTTGAGTAAAAATCGGAGTGGAATGCAAGAGAGAATGTGTCAGACAAGGTGAATTGTGGGCTTGTTATCTTTGTCTAGTTGATTACAGGCTCTGCAGAAGAATGTGGCTGTAAAGTGAGAATAGGCCTCTGCTCCACACTGTGCAAGCAAAGTTATGTGTTATTACATAAGCTATTTCAACAGTAGCTCTCTGCATTACTTGTTTCAACCTGTAAGTCATTTTACATTTCGAAAGGGAAAGAGTCAAAGCCAGTATCTCAGGCTTTGCCTGACTCAGCAGCTTGATTTACTCTCTAGCCTATTAAATGGTCCACTTTTCCTGTCTCACCCTCAACAGACAAGTGGTCATATTTTAAAATGTGTAACCTGATATATTTGGAGCAGATGTGTGTGTTGAAACAGGCGTTTATCATCCAGAGACCCACTGACCTGGTTAACATGGACGGGAAAGCTAGTGCACAGGATTCAAACGTTAAATCCAGCACAAGTACTTGAGACAATAATTGCTCCAAAGTTGCTAAATATCTACATGTGGATGGATGCCAAGAAACACAATTACAATGAGTCATTCAGTATTTCTGTTTCCTTTTGCAGCCAATGACTATGGGCTGTTTCTGTCTGATGAAGACCCAAAGAAAGGCATCTGGCTGGAGGCAGGAAAGGCCCTGGACTACTACATGTTGAGGAATGGGGTGAGTCAGTCTAGCACTCAGTCTGTACACCACTAAATGCTTCAAATACTTAAATTTTAGCACACAGCAGCAACCCATACAGTGAATAAATGGAATGATGGCAAAATGTACTCAGCGTCAGTGTCTCCTGTAAAGGAAGTATATGGGGACCCCAACAATTACAGGGATTTTTACATAAGACAGACAGGAATGTTTTATTGTCTATCTCATGTAAAAATCCCTGTAATTGTTGGGGTCCCCATGTACTTCCTTTACAGGAGATAGACAGGAATGTTTTATTGTCTTTGAACTAGGCTTGCACCGATTTATCGGCAGTGCTCGGAATCGGCCGGTTTTCACGTGATCGGCCATGACCTGCGACCGGCCAGTCAGTCTAAAATATGCCGATTCAAAACGGCGGTCAAATTCCCAGCGCGCCGCATGATTGACATCGTGTAACATCAGCAGCGCACACACGCACATGTGCAACTCACGGCTTGGGCGATGAGAGGAAGTGAAACATCATGGGCGGCTTTTCAGCTTAATCATTCACGCACACACATCAAAAGAGAGAAGGAGAAAGTTGTTAATCGTCTGTGTTAAACTTGACTGCAGAGCTCTCACTGCTGCACTGTGCAGCTTGAAACTGACGAGGCGCGTTTCCGCGCGTTTACTGGCGGATGCGTCCTGAAGACCTGTGTGAATTTTCAACAGGAGATATTTTTAATTTTTTGGCTATTCAAGAAATTACCCACAAATGCTATCCACCAAGACTTATTATTTTATTTATCTATGTTTTTATTTATGTATGCCTTTTTTACTTATTTATTTTAATACTGTACCTGAAGTTACATTTGAGCAAAAAGGAAAATGTTTCTTAACCTGTGTCACTGTTTTTGTTTTTAAAATGTTCTATTAAAGCAAAGATAGAAAATATTGCAATATCGTGTGTGCTGTAAAGTGGTTTGAAAAAAATGTATCGGACAAAATCAGAATTGGCCATCCAAACACTCTACAAAAAATTATAATTTGTGCAAGTCTACTTTAAACTAATCCAGTGAGGCTAATCCATGTATCAGATATTAGAATCAAGGTGACAGGTTGTAAAAAAAAAATTCACTTAGACATTTTTTTTCAACAACTCCAAAAAATTTCTACACACTTACAAACTGTCATTTCTCCAGCAGTTTTTGACAGGTTTAAGGGGTGATTTATGAGCACACATTTGCTAATCATCATTTGAAAAGCTCAACATCTCTCTATTTATCTCTCAAACACTGACACCACAAATAACTAATCTGAGACAACTAGGATTTGTACCCAGGTTCATTGTAAACTCTGACTTACCATCTCACTGTTAGTAAGCAGAAAAATAACTTTATTAAAGCGTGAAATCTTTCTTAATCTGCAACATGTTAGTCTGGAGGTTTAAACTCATGTCCTCTCACACGGTTGGTGATTAAAACTAAACTTTCATCTCTGTCAGAGAAAACTGATCTGAGTTCAGACTGTTCACTTCCAGTACAGCTACACTAACAGATAACTGAGCCTCCTACCTGCCTGTCAAACAAAATCAAACCATAAACCTTCTTGAGTCCAGACGGAGTGGAGTCCTGTGGGAATCAGCTGTGAAGTGGCTTTCAGACAGGGGTCACTGCTAACAGCCACTGCTGCAATGAACAAACTCCACAAATCCATTCAGCAGCTCCACCGACTGTCAGGCACACGCGGCTGATAATTTACTGCTGAATTACAGCTCACAACTCGCACTCTGATGCTGCTCTGGTGTGAGTGTTTTTGCTGATTAACTAAACATCCTGAAACATCCTGGTGCAGACTATTTACTGGAGTTAACCAGCCTGTGGCTCATGTGGCATTTGAAGATAATTACAGCCATGACCATTCTCGGCTTTCAAAGTCTGATAGTACACCACAAACTTTTTCGTCACATCTCGTCAATGAAAATGAAACTGATTTTGTGTTAGTTTTTATTATCAAGATCTCTTTTTAGCTTGTCATTGTCTTGTTTTCATCATGGAAAAAAGGTTGTTGATGAAAAATTTTCCTCATAGTTTTTGTCAGTGAAATTAACACTGATGTGCACCATGTATATTCAAATAACAGAAGGTCATTTTGCTAGGCTGGGCCTCTAGATCAGGTAATAGAGCGTGACTACCTAGGCCCTGATCATGTCAGATGATACTGTGTTTACTAGTACATATTTTCACAATAGATTGTCAGTTAACCAAACACAAACCAGTTGATGCTTTATAAGCATGGATCTTGGTGCCCATGGAGGTCTGGGGCTCCAGGGTAGTTGGTAATCCAGCCTGACTTGGAGCTTTTGTAAACTGCTGTCCAGTGATATGTTGGGTACTGCTGATGAATCATTGACTTTTTATTGCGAGTGGATCATGTGTTAAACAAAAATATCACTGTGGACTTTTATATTAATAAAAAAAATCTGTCTAGAATTAAATGAATTATAATGAATGATATATGTTGCATATGGACTGGTTGAATTTCTCGAAGCTCACCCTCTGAGATATGCCATCTCGTCTCTGAGGGGGTCCCAGAAGTGGAATATAAATGAGTGGGTGTGGTGAGTAACAAATGCACTGTCAGCCAATCACATCACTGAACCAATCACTCTGAAATAGCTGACTCTGTCACAGTGAGGAATGACAACAGTGACTCAACAAAAGAAGAATTGGCTCCTCCAGGAAATCAGATCGTTGTCTGGATGGTGCAGCACAGCACATTGCGAACACACAGCCACACAGATTTGCAGCCAGAGGCAGAGGGGTTGCTGCACCAGCATGAAACAAAGGCCATAGGATTCTATAAATTGTTTGTTTGAAGGAAATTTAAATAACGTGCCTTTGTAAATATCAGAATCACCTCTGGTTTGTTTTAGACTATTATAGATAATCTAGATTGTAGGATCCAGCAAGCATTTTGACATCTAGTAAGACAGATCTCCTGACTTGTCTCCTCTGTCTGTCAGGACACTCTGGAGTATAAGAAGAAGCAGAGGCCTCTCAAGATCCGCATGCTGGACGGCACAGTGAAAACTGTCATGGTTGACGACTCAAAGATTGTCAGTGACATGCTCATGACCATCTGTGCAAGAATAGGTCAGCTCTGCCACACAGCTCACACATCATCTGGACAACTCCCTAATATGTTTGGGTGAAATAATGTCTGTCCTCATTTTGTTCATCAGTGCATCAGTACATCTCCCCCAGAACAAGATCTATTGTCACCACTGATTAATGGCTGTTTTTTATTTAAAGTTGTAGTTCAGATTTTTATAGGTGGGGTTGTATGAGGTGCTTATCCATAGACAATATATTACATAAAGTGGATGTCAGTCGGCATGCCCCCAGTTTGGAGAAACAGGCTGAAGTCTAACATGGAACCTAAGAAATCTATTGCTGTGGATGGGGGCCAGCATCAAACCCTAACAAAACTAATATCAGCTAAAGTGTGCAATATATTTAGAGTATTTTCACTGCTCTACCTTTCTGTTAGACAGTGCTTTCCAATGGAAAATGAAATTGCTATATCTCTCTTCAAAGCCAGACTCCACTGAGTAAAAACAGTGATTTAACAGTGCTGAACACAGGAGCTGCTGGTCTATCACTGCCTCAAGCAGTTATTTTTTTGTGTTATTATGTGACTTTGATGTTTAAAGGGGTTAGTTTCCATTTACCATTATGCCTGTGGATATTCTCATTCATCCAGGTCATAGTTATCTCAAGGCAATTGAATCGAACGCAACTGGACTTAGTTTTGTCTTAGAAGACGTTTCACCTCTTATCCAAGAGGCTTCATCAGTTCATGCTTGTCTGACTAGGCTGGAACTAGTCTGACAAACTGGTGTGGAAGCACCCAGGTATTTAACCTCTGGGGAGGTCTTCACAAGGCTAGTGATGTCACTGGTTCGTTAGTGCTCCAATGGTGTGTCAACGACAGTCGTTGAAACTCCTGCTGTAACGCTGCAGTTGGAGTCGTTAGAGTCACATGAGGCCATTTGTGAACGACCATTGTTTTTAGAGGTTAAGTTGTTAAACCTCCTGGGCAAGGATGAAAGAACAGCATTATAGGTGGGGGATAGGTGGTGTCGCAGACCTCCTCCTCTGTTGAGAGATGGCTTTTCCAATTTCACATAGATGGCTTCTTTTACACCTCTTTCAAACCATCTGTCTTCCCTGTCCAAAATGTGCACATTGCTGTCTTCGAAGGAGTGTACTTTGTCCTTGAGGTGTAGATAGAGAGCTGAGTCTTGCCCTGACGAGTTAGCCCTTCTGTGTTGGGCCATGTGTTTGTTTAGTGGTTGTTTTGTTTCACCAATGTACAAGTCTGGGCATTCCTCACTGCATTGGACAGCGCTGTCTAACGACTCCAATTGCAGCGTTGCAGCAGGAGTTTCAACAACTTTCGTTGACACACCATTGGAGCAGTGACATCATTGGCCTTGTGAAGACCTCCCCAGAGTTTAAATACCTGGGTGCTTCCACACCAATTTGTCAGACTAGTTCCAGCCTAGTCAGACAAGCATGAACTGATGAAGCATCTTGGATAAGAGGTGAAACATCTTCTAAGACAAAACTAAGTTCAGTTGTGTTCGATTCAATTGCCTTGAGATCCATTTACCAATGTCACACAATGACACAAACTAGCTATGTGATCGAAGCAGCGGTAGACTAGCAGCTCCTGTGTTCAGCAAGCTAAGATTAATGATTTTTCAATGGAGTCTGGTAGCTTTGACGAGAGCATAGATGAGAACTAAAGCTGTAAATGGCTTTTCCATCAAAACAGGCTCTCTGGCAGAAAGGGAAAGCAGTAAAAATACTGTCAATGTAGTGTACACCTAAGCTGATATTGACTTTTTTTTTTAGGGGGCTAAAGTACATTTTGTTGCTGACCCCTCCACAGCAGTACATTGCTTAGCAATGGGGGGGGGGGGGGTGCTGTGGCCATGCTATGGCTGTGCTGCCTGCTCTCTCCGGTTTTACGCCAGGCTCGGCTCCTTTCAAAGACTCCTTGCGAAGCACTCCTCCGGGGTTTTTGCGGACCTAATTGTATTGCGGAGTTTTGCACAGCAGCGACCGGATCTTTGCTCTCAAACCACAAAAAAATGTGATGGCACAACAGTCTCCTTCAGTACATTATTCTGTGCTTTCTTTTGATTTTCACATTGGCTAGTCATCCTGTTTAATTTGTCTTCTGATTAAATCGGAACCCTTGAAACAAGTTGTAGGAAGCCTCTGCAAGTAATTGGTTGCTGGCAGACACTCTGTGCTGCAATAAAATGGTTAATCAGCAGTGCTGTGCACTGTAGAGCCGATGCGCTGCTGGTTCTGCCGGCCTGAATAGAATATAGTGTCTACTGTTGTGTACAGCCTTTATAGACTGAGCTGAGTAGTGATGCGCGGGTCGACCTGTAACCCACGGGACCCGCAAATGGACCTGCGGTTCGGGCAGCAGTGATTGTCTGTTAAATCGATCTGTAAATGATATTTTGACATTATTGACTATTACTGTCATGGCATCCGAAGGTACTGATGCGTTGAGCAGGTGACAGTCCGCGTTCGTTTTCAAAACACACTTGTGTCACCCACTCCACAAGAAACTTGTTGAAACTTTAAACAAAAATTTATTGTACAAAACAGGGGAAACAAACGTTGACAAAAACAGTTCCATAATTCATATTAAATTCAAAAGATAAAGAAAAAACAGCTACAAGTTAGAGGGAATAGTGATAAAGTGGTAAAACTTGGCATTGATCCACAGCCTCAGACGGATGCGCTCAAGCGTGCCGTGCACACAAGCTCTGTTGGTAGGCTATACTATATTTTCACATTTTTAACAATGCAATTTAAAAGTTTTGATTTTTATTGATATCCTACATTTACCAACAACAAAAAGACTACATTTGGCACCAAAAAATATGTTAAAAAAAAAAAAAATAGCCTAATACTAAAAAAAAAAAAAAAAAAAAGTAAATAAAAAAAACGAATATCGAATGCCAAATTTTCATAAGGAATACCTACCCATAGAAACGAATATTCGAATATCCGAATATTTGGGTACAGCCCTAGTAATATACTGGTTATGGATAAGTACCTCATACAGCCCCACTTCAAAAAATCCAAACTATGTATTTAATTCTCAGCCTATGCTTGTATTGCAGGGTGAAAGTGAAAGGAAATGTAGTAACCGGAATCTGTTTGTGTGTCAGGCATTACAAACTACGACGAGTACTCACTAGTGCGAGACATTGGTGAAGAGAAGAAGGAGGAGACCACAGGGACCCTGAAAAGAGACAAGACTCTTCTGAGAGATGACAAGAAGATGGAGAAGCTGAAGCAGAAGCTCCACACAGATGATGAATGTATGACAAACGCAAGCCACCTCACTCACTGTCTTAAGCACACTAACTTTATGGCCTGTAGTTTCACTGAGGCACTGTAAAATGAGAAACAATGACATGGTTTCATACCCTCTCTGATCTCTCTTAAATGCTGGATGTGTTGATGTGAATATGCTATGAATCTTGTGCTGACAGCTTTGACTAGTCACTTCCTGACAGACAACGCTCTAATACATCTCTTTCTCTCTTCACTTGACTTCTGGACAATGTGACTTGGCAAAATAAATAATAGTTCAGAGGATATATTAAAATAGTAAAAATAAAACTTTTTGTCTTTGTAACATTGTACCAATACCATATAAGAAAAAATACCATAAACTCATAATGTTGAGGTTGTCTATTGCCCAAATTGTCACTGCCATTTTCTCTGCTATAAAATACTAAATGACACTGGCACTGCTGCGAAACCAATGGCCAAGTGTTGCCTCAGTCTGGAAATAGAGTCACCATCATAGTAAATGGACTGCATTTATATAAAGCACTCTTCCAGTCTTAGTGACCACTCAAAGCACCATTCACCCATTCACATGCACATTCATACAAAGTCATGCCACCTGCTCATCAGATAAACATTCACATGCTCTCACAAACAGATGGCAACATCAGGAGCAATTTGGATTCCAGTGTCTTGCCCAAGGACACTTGGATACTTACACAGATAAGCCAAACATTAAAACCACTGAGCTGGTGAAGTGAATGACATTGATTATGTCGTTAAAATTCAACGTTCTGCTGGGAATAAGGTTACAACGGTATGAGATTTTCATGGTATGATACCTATAATATCGCAATTTCACGGTATCATGTTATTACAGAATTATAATTATTATCAGTTAGAATTACCCTAAAGGAATTAAAACGGAAGGGTTACTTTTGGTTCCACAAATGTTTTATTATATTTTACTATAAACTTTTTACTATATTTTTTACTATAAACTTAAAACCATTTTTAATGCAAGTACTATATGTAAAAAGACTCCCCTTTGAAAATAACTAAAATAAAGTTGAGATTTTCTGTCCAGTTGCTTTTTTAAAAAATATTATAGATATGTAATTGTACATGGTACGATAACCCTCAATTTTAATATCACAGTATACCACCACAGGGCACCCCCCAGAGATCTTGTGTACATGCCTTGACAGGTCAGATCCAAGGAGGCCCCACCACACATCAGAGGTAACGTCTGGGATATCGGCATGTCCCATGGATGCTCAGTCAGATTGGGGTGTGGGGAATTTGGAGACCAGGTTGATGCATGGGGCTCTTTGTCATGTTCCTGCAGTGTGGCATAGTACATTGTCCTGCTGGGGGGCAGTGCTGTTGCCAACAGTGTTTGGGTTGGTGGAGGGCATCATGTGGCATCCACATGAATGCCAGGACCAAAGGTTTCCCAGCAGAATGTTACATAGTAACGAAATGATCAGTGTTATTAACTTCACCTATTGGTAGTTTTAATGTTATGGCCAATCGGGCCACAGCTGCCCCACTGTAATGTGCTATTAGGGAGGTTAAAGGTAAATTCAAAACTATCAATAGAGTACAGTTAAATAAAAGCTGTTTTGATTGGTCGCTGACAACGTAGTACACTGCATATTGTGCATATTCTATATGGCCTGTAAACACATCACTGACATACAGATAGCAAAGCCTGCATCACTGATCACCTGCCTTTAACCATTTCTTGAGAAGGCCTGTCAGCTTTCTCTGCCATTTCTCAGTTCATTTGGTTGATGTTTTTCCTCAGTGAACTGGTTGGACCATGGCAGGACGTTGAGGGAACAGGGTGTGGAGGAGACAGAGATGTTGCTGCTGAGAAGGAAGTTCTTTTACTCAGACCAGAATGTGGACTCCAGAGACCCTGTCCAGCTCAACCTGCTTTATGTACAGGTACACAAAGTACTGCCATAAACCTGGTTAATCTCTCTGAAGCATGCCAGTTAGTCAGGATCAGTTTCATTTTCTCCTGGAAAGACTGTGCAATTTTCCCAGGCTTTAAAGGGTTTTTAAAATTCGGCATGAATTAATCAGGTGGTCTTTTTTCTGTGTTTTACATGCTAATTGCCAGGTTAAATTTTGTATTCACAATCAATTCTGTTCCTCAAATTTCTGTTTAGTGGATATCTAGGTGCAGTGCTCTTTCTTCAGTAGCTTTTCATCAAATTAAAGCTGGTAGTAATACATAATGATAAGAGGTATTGTAGCCTTAAACAGTATCTGTGCCGAAAGAGGTCCCTTCGAGTTTCCATAAAGGGGCACTTGCAGCACTACTTTATGAGCAGGTTTACAGACAGACTGAGAGGCTGTTCAAGATGGAATCACCAGGCAGTTAGGGCCATTGTAATTAAATGAGAACTACAGAATGTATAGTTCACATTTCCAAAAAACTTCTACAGGTGCTGGATCAAAAAGCAAACTGAAGGCAAAAAACAGACAACAAATCGCAGCACATCTGCATGATAAAGAGTAAATGTTTTTTCAAACTAGACTGATCAGAGCAGAGCTGGATAACACTGCCTGATGGTCCATCATAAAGGATAAAGCATGCCTCCATAGAAAGGGCAAAACAAATACAAAAAAATACAAAAAAACCCAACATATTAAATCCAACAAATTAAAAATTCAATCACATTTATTGCATTATCATGATACTTAAGTCATGATACATTATTATTGCGATTTAAATATGTTGTGATATGCAGGGTATTGCAATGAAATATATTATATTGTCATTTATTACCTATTTTCAACTGTAAATTATGTCCCCAAAGGGAAACTTTGTCAACATCTGTTTTATCGAATAAGATAAAGTTTTCAGTCTGTTCATCTTACTTCAGCTATTTTTTATCTAGTGGACTGAAAAAGCAATTGATTATATTATTCTAGTAGGCCACCTTAAGTTTAATTTTTATTTGTAATATTAATAATTTATAAAATAAAAACATAGATACTTGGCACTGTGTGACGATACAATATTGCCACCCAAAAGTTTTGCAGTACTATGCTGCATCTACTGGTGGGCCATCACGATAATAGTATGCAAGCATTATATGATGATGTTAATTCCACTACAGAAGAGACTTGATTATCAATAAAATTAGGTAGGAAAAAAAGTGGATATATTGATATCAGTATCTGTTATTGGCCAAATAAGTTGTTAAATATTGGCATATCAGATATCAGCAAAAAATCCAATATCTTGCATCCCTGCTGAAGAAAATCTTTGTTACATCCAAATGTTGTTGTAAAAAATTTGAATAGCTGGAAGCTATCAGTAGAGTGTGTAGATCTGTTGTCTGTTTTACCTAATCAGAACTTACATAACTAAATACAGGAATGTAAGTTGTTCAGCTTTAATGCACCACAGAAAAGAAAAGACACACTCCTTTATGTACCTTTCACACCACTATCTTATTACAGTCAGCATTCAACTCCACAGAAAGTGACAATGTCCATGTACCATATACCTGCTTTTGTTTTTGTACTTGTCAATTCATACGTAGGTATGTTTTCAATGGGACATTTGTGCTGGCACTGTATTAACCTGAATAACTGTTACTTCTCTGAACAGAAATAGCCTTAACCAAGTAACAGCCTTTCATATGAGTATTAACTGTGTGTGTGTGTGTGTGTGTGTGTGTGTGTGTGTGTGTGTGTGTGTGAGACAGGCCCGTGATGATATTCTGAATGGATCTCATCCAGTCTCCTTTGATAAGGCCTGTGAGTTTGCTGGCTATCAGTGTCAGATTCAGTTTGGTGATCACAACGAGTCCAAACACAAGTCTGGATTCTTAGAGTGAGCGCTGTCTTCGTATTTACATATTCACCATTTTCTTTTTGTTACATCCATTCACATTTGACATTTCTGTTTGGAATTGCCTTCTTGAAACTGTGGTGAGGCTTGTTTGACTCTTTTTGAACTCTTTTCTCATCAGTTTAAAGGAGTTTCTTCCCAAAGAATACATCAAGCACAAAGGAGAGAAAAAGATCTTTCAGGTAAGACCTGGGCTCTGTGGATGTACAGGAGCCTGTCACTTTTGATTACATGGTTGTGCTTCTTGATCTGTTTTCTTCATCTCTCCTGGCTAGAGGTATTAGACTACATATAGGCAGTATAACATACATTTAGTTTTACTGCTTAAAGGTACACTCAGATTTTGTTGTATCTTACAGAAGAGGCTTTGAGATGTGGAGGTGGCATTTCAAAGCTATATTTGAAACTCAGATTTACAAAATATGTCCAACAGTCTAATTAAATGCAGGATAAAATGTTAAATGCAGCACAAATTACGTAGCATCTTAAATGTCCATAAATCATGAGATGCTAGAAATCTAAGAAAGATTACTTATATTTGGGTTTGCTTACACACAGTTGATGTACTCCTGATTCTTTCTCTTCTCTCTGCAGGCGCACAAAAACTGTCAGAACATGACAGAGATTGAGGCCAAAGTCAGCTATGTGAAGCTGGCCAGGTCTCTAAAAACCTACGGAGTGTCATTCTTTCTGGTCAAGGTGAGGAGAAAAGTGTCACTTAACATCTCTGTGTGATGGAATTGCAGAACAGTGGCTTGATATGATGGAGATGCTACATTTGGTTTGAGGCCCTGTCTACACCTATACAGATTTTTTCAAAATGGATATTTTCTTCCACATTTTGGCTTCTGGTCCACACTCAAACAAAGTGTTCGATCACTTGAATGAAATATACGTGAAAACACTTTCTATGGTGCAGATTTTTCAGCCTCTGGTTACTTTGTATCTGTGTCAACATGTAACATGAAGCATTGTAGAAACAATGAGTTCATCTCCTTAATTTGCAGATGCCCATTGTTCCTTTGTGAAATGAGCACGCGCCAGAAACAGTAACGACAGCCTCCACCCCAGAGGCATTATGTTTTTGAGTTGTCAGTCCGTTCATCCTTTCCATTCTCATGAATATCTGAAGAATGCCATGGGTTGTTCATTTATTTTTTTAATTTGGCACAAATGTTCCCTTGGACTCAGCGATGAACTGATTAGAATTTGGTAGGGATGCACCAAAATGAAAATTTGTGGCCGAAGCTGAAGCCGAATATTATTAAATGCTTGGCCGATTAACGAGTACCGAATACCGAATATCATTGTTTAGTTTTTCATTAGTTTTTGCAGATGAACCCCCTCCAGATTAGTGTTGTCACGGTACCAAAATTGGGACCCACTGTACGGTACCAATGAAAATATCATGGTTCTGAGTAGTATCACGATACCACAGCAAAAATGAGGCAGATGTGCCTTTTGTCATTTATAAAAAGATAAATCACTTTTCTATAATACATCACTGATATTTCAATGGAATAAATTACTTATTGACTTATTCATACTTCAAAAACAGCATCAATCAGTGATTAACATAGGGGGGATCAAAATAAAATAAATAAATAAAATAAAAATCAACCAGCCACCCTCCTCCCCTGACAGGTCCCTTCATAAGTAACGAACAGTCCCTAAAGTGCGGTGAGGTTTGTGGGCTGTTACTGCCAGAAAGAGTAATGTGAACGGCTCGTTTCTCCTCTGACACGTCATATACCTGTGTTCGGCTGGCTCGGCCGTTCAGGTACTTCTGGGCAGCCATGACGCCAAGAAGAGGATATTATTGGAACTGACTTCTCCGTCGCCAGTAAGCCGATGACCGCCGTATTTGACAGGAGTACATTAGGCTACTGTCTGTGTCTGTGACCCCCATTCAACCCACAACCGGTGGGATTCGCCTTTTGTTTCTGCTGGTAGTTGAAATCTGTACTCGCAGAGCGTGCTGAATGATTTAAGCCTATTTTGCTCGCTCAAAACTATTTTTAGTCGCAAATGCGAGTGCGGTGACGGACAGATCGCCACACTGCCGACATTTTATTCCGCCTGTCATGGCACGCCATTTGATTGCGTTACCAAAACACGCCACTATTATTCGGCCTTGCTTTTAACTTATTCCACCGAATACCGAATGTGTGGTTTTTTTGCAGTATTCGGCCGAATATATTCGGTTACCGAATTCAGTTACCGAATATTCGGTGCACCCCTAGAATTTGTCAAAGTCAAACGTCAAGGTAACTGTGACCTTGCAACGTCTCATTCTCGTGATTGCAATATCTCAAGAACACTTTTAGGGTATTTCTTCAAATTTGACACAAATGTCTACTTGGACTGATGAATAAACGTATTAGAATTTGGTGGTCAAAGGTCAAGATGAGTGTGACCTCAGCATGATCTCAAGAATTCTTATGCTCATTATGACAAAACTTTACATGAATGTCTAATATGATGTAATGATGAAGTGATGACATTTTATATCCAAAAGGTCAAAGGTCAACTTCATTGTGACATCATAATGTCATGCATGAAATGTGTGTGTATATATGTATACAGTATCTCACATAAGTGAGTACACCCCTCCTATTTTTGCAAATATTTCATTTTATCTTTTCATGGGACAACACTATAGAAATGACACTTTGATATAACTTAAAGTAGTCAGTGTACAGCTTGTATAGTAGTATAGATTTACCTTCCTCTGAAAATTACTCAAAACACAACCATCAACATCTAAACAGCTGGCAACATAAGTGAGTACACCCCACAATGAACATGTCCAAATTGTGCCTAAAGTGTCAATATTTTATGCGCCAACCATTATTATCTAGCACTGCCTTAACCCTTTTGGGCATGGAATTCACCAGAGCTCACAGGTTGCTTCAGGAATCCTCTCCCACTCCTCCATGATGACATCATGGAGCAGATGGATGTGAAGACACCTTGCACTCCTCCACCTTTTCAGCTTGAGGATGGCCCACAGGTGCACAGGTGAGTTTAGGGCTGGATACATACTTAGCCAGTCCATCACCTTCACCTTCAGCTTCCTCAGCAAGGCAGTTGTCATCTTCTAGGTGTGTTTCGGGTCATTATCATGTTGGAAAACTTGATAATGAAAACTTGCAGCCCAGTTTCTGAAGAGGGGTGATCATGCTCTGCTTGGAATTCATGTTTCCCTAAATGAACCGAGCTCCCCAGAGCCGGCAGCACTCATGCAGCCCCAGACCATTATGCTGCCACCACTATACTTGACTGTAAGCAAGGGACAGTTGTCTTGGTGCTTTTCGCCAAGGTGCCACACATGCTGACAGAGCACCAAGCCAACTGTCCCTTGCTTACATTCAAGTATAGTGGTGGCAGCACTCAAGCAGCCCCAAACCATGATGCTGCCACCACTATCCTTGACTGTAGGCAAGGGACAGTTGTCTTGGTGCTCTTCACCAAGGTGCCACACATGCTGAAAGAGCACCAAGACAACTGTCCCTTGCCTACAGTCAAGTATAGTGGTGGCAGCATCATGGTTTGGGGCTGCATGAGTGCTGCCGGCTCTGGGGAGCTCGGTTCATTTAGGGAAACATGAATTCCAAGCAGAGCATGATCGCCCCTCTTCAGAAACTGAGCCACAATGCAGTTTTCCAACATGATAACGACCCAAAACACACCTAGAAGATGACAACTGCCTTGCTGAGGAAGCTGAGGGTGAAGGTGATGGACTGGACAAATATGTATCCAGCCCTAAACTCACCTGTGCACCTGTGGGCCATCCTCAAGCTGAAGGTGGGGTAGCGCAAGGTGTCTTCACATCCATCTGCTCCATGATGTCATCATGGAGGAGTGGGAGAGGATTCCTGAAGCAACCTGTGAGCTCTGGTGAATTCCATGCCCAAAAGGGTTAAGGCAGTGCTAGATAATAATGGTTGGCGCGTAAAATATTGACACTTTAGGCACAATTTGGACATGTTCAATGTGGGGTGTACTCACTTATGTTGCCAGCTGTTGAAAAGATAAAATGAAATATTTGCAAAAATAGGAGGGGTGTACTCACTTATGTGAGATACTGTGTGTGTGTGTATATGTGTATATATATATATATATATATATATATATACAACACACAAACAAACAAATATCAGTTTATAAAGCAAACATAAACAAAACATCTGTTCAGGTTTACCCACTCAAGCCTGAACAGGTGAGTTTATATACATAGTTTATATACATATACATATACAGTACAGGCCAAAAGTTTGGACACACCTTCTCATTCAATGCGTTTTCTTTATTTTCATGACTATTTACATTGTAGATTCTCACTGAAGGCATCAAAACTATGAATGAACACATGTGGAGTTATGTACTTAACAAAAAAAGGTGAAATAACTGAAAATATGTTTTATATTCTAGTTTCTTCAAAATAGCCACCCTTTGCTCTGATTACTGCTTTGCACACTCTTGGCATTCTCTCCATGAGCTTCAAGAGGTAGTCACCTGAAATGGTTTCCACTTCACAGGTGTGCCTTATCAGGGTTAATTAGTGGAATTTCTTGCTTTATCAATGGGGTTGGGACCATCAGTTGTGTTGTGCAGAAGTCAGGTTAATACACAGCCGACAGCCCTATTGGACAACTGTTAAAATTCATATTATGGCAAGAACCAATCAGCTAACTAAAGAAAAACGAGTGGCCATCATTACTTTAAGAAATGAAGGTCAGTCAGTCCGGAAAATTGCAAAAACTTTAAATGTGTCCCCAAGTGGAGTCGCAAAAACCATCAAGCGCTACAACGAAACTGGCACACATGAGGACCGACCCAGGAAAGGAAGACCAAGAGTCACCTCTGCTTCTGAGGATAAGTTCATCCGAGTCACCAGCCTCAGAAATGGCAAGTTAACAGCAGCTCAGATCAGAGACCAGATGAATGCCACACAGAGTTCTAGCAGCAGACCCATCTCTAGAACAACTGTTAAGAGGAGACTGTGCGAATCAGGCCTTCATGGTCAAATAACTGCTAGGAAACCACTGCTAAGGAGAGGCAACAAGCAGAAGAGATTTGTTTGGGTCAAGAAACACAAGGAATGGACATTAGACCAGTGGAAATCTGTGCTTTGGTCTGATGAGTCCAAATTTGAGATCTTTGGTTCCAACCGCCGTGTCTTTGTGAGACGCAGAAAAGGTGAACAGATGGATTCCACATGCCTGGTTCCCACTGTGAAGCATGGAGGAGGAGGTGTGATGGTGTGGGGGTGTTTTGCTGGTGACACTGTTGGGGATTTATTCAAAATTGAAGGCACACTGAACCAGCATGGCTACCACAGCATCCTGCAGCGACATGCCATCCCATCCGGTTTGCGTTTAGTTGGACGATCATTTATTTTTCAACAGGACAATGACCCCAAACACACCTCCAGGCTGTGTAAGGGCTATTTGACCAAGAAGGAGAGTGATGGAGTGCTGCGGCAGATGACCTGGCCTCCACAGGCACCGGACCTGAACCCAATCGAGATGGTTTGGGGTGAGCTGGACCGCAGAGTGAAGGCAAAGGGGCCAACAAGTGCTAAACACCTCTGGGAACTCCTTCAAGACTGTTGGAAAACCATTTCAGGTGACTACCTCTTGAAGCTCATGGAGAGAATGCCAAGAGTGTGCAAAGCAGTAATCAGAGCAAAGGGTGGCTATTTTGAAGAAACTAGAATATAAAACATGTTTTCAGTTATTTCACCTTTTTTTGTTAAGTACATAACTCCACATGTGTTCATTCATAGTTTTGATGCCTTCAGTGAGAATCTACAATGTAAATAGTCATGAAAATAAAGAAAACGCATTGAATGAGAAGGTGTGTCCAAACTTTTGGCCTGTACTGTATGTATATTCATTCATTATTATATATGAATGTATATTGTATACCTCTTATTGTTTTGCCTTGCTTTATTTTGTTTGGTTTTGAATATATAAGTTTGAGAGGTCCCATGTCAGGAAATGTTCTGTTATCTAAGAAAATTGAACATTAAATAAAAAGTAAATGTGAGTGTGTGTGAATGTGTGTGAACACTGTTGGTTTATTTCCAGTAAGGACATTCTGTTTCCTTAAATGTCCTGCAGGAGAAAATGAAGGGCAAGAATAAACTGGTACCTCGTCTGCTGGGTATCACCAAGGAGAGTGTGATGAGGGTGGACGAGAAGACCAAGGAGGTGATCCAGGAGTGGAACCTGACCAACATCAAACGCTGGGCTGCCTCACCGAAGAGCTTCACCCTGGTGAGTTCTTCAAGGAAAGTTAGAACATGTCATTGACCCTTAGGTGCTGCCCCGAGGAAAGGTTAATTGGAACACAAATGTACAACAGAGCTCTCAGTTTACCTCTTAGTTCACTTTCCAACCCTGACCTATGGTAGCAAAATTTGTATAGTGTGAAAAAATGACATGATGGGTTTAAGCAGCTGAAATAAGTTTCCTTTCCCCAGCCCTTAGCTGTGTTGAGGCATGATATGCTGTGGCGGCATGTGATCCCTGTTGTAACTCTAACTCACTGGCTCAACATGTTTGGTCATGCAGGTGCTGATGTGAGCCTTGAGTCACTTTGCCTGAAAAAAAAAACACCCTCAGAAATCCTGGTTTAGTTAGGAACTCCCACCTTAACGTTAACAGATAGGTTGAAACTATTAAAAAAAACGCATGAGAATGTATCAAGGGTTAGAGGATTTGTTTTGAAACAAGATGTAGAACAACTTGTCCCGGTTGTGACCAGTCTCTCACCCAGTTTACAGTCAGCCCACATCCCTCAAAAGAATCAGCTTTGAAAGTTGATGGCTGATATTTCATACTGCTTTACTACAATTTTTTTTGCCAAAGTTTATAAATATATACCTGCTTTAATCCAGCATTCAACATTTATTTGATCAGATTATTAGACTTGCTTGTAAAACTATTGAATAATTATGAGCAATATATTTATAACCTTGGCTGCCATTCCTGTGGTCTCTCCTTCATAATATAGATACAAAATGCAGGTTTTAATAAATGTGCAGCTGCTTGTCAAACTGTTGTTGGAGGACATAGCTACACTACTATTACTACTACTACTTATGCTTGAGCTGTTAATATCTGTAGATTGACAGCTGATCCAGCTGTGTAGGTAAGATGCAAGTGAGGAAATCCTGGACACATTCAAGACCAGTGAGAACAATCCAATCTCAAATTACTGTAACGTAAACAACTGCATTTTTTTGTTTTTATTTGGCACAAATGTTCACTTGGACTCTAGAACGATCTGATTAGATATTGGTGGCCAAAAGTCAAAGTCAATATGACCTTGCAGCCGTCTTATTCTCGTTATTGTGATATCTCAAGAACACCTTGGGGAATTTCTTCAAATTTGGCACAAACGGACTCAATAATTAATTGTTTAGAATTTGGTGGTCTAAGGTCAAGGTTGCTGTGACCTTTTGTCTGTCCCATTCTTGTGAACACAATGTTTCAAGAAGGCCTTTAAGGGAATTTCCTCTAATATGGCACAAACGTCCATTTGGACCCAAGATTGATCTCATTAGATTTTGGTGGTCAAAGGTCAAGGCTACTGTGACTTTGCGTCCATCTTATTCTCGTGAATGTGATGTGTCAGGAAAACCTTGGGAAATTCTTCAAATTTGGCACAAACATCCATTTGGACTCAAGAATGAATTGTTTAGGATGTGGTGGTCAAAGGCCAGGGTCACTGTGACCCTTAAAAAACATTTTGTTTTTGACCATAACTCAAGAATTTATAAGCACATTATGACATAATTTTACATAAATGTCTAATAGGATATAATGACACAATAACAGAAGGGGAAAATTTGGTCAGATACTGAATTGGTGACACTTCTGTGCTGCCAGAGGGGAAGATGGGTATCTGCGGAGGCAAACAACCATGAGACTGTAATTCCAGTATGCATTTTAAGCAAAAGAAAGATACACCCAAAGTCACTAGCCTGACTCAAACCAGGGATGTTGTTGGTTATGGTCAGCATCTTAACCCCTCAACCATTATGGTCGAGCACCCTGAGAATGTTCTTTTTCTGCTTTCAGGACTTTGGAGACTACCAGGATGGTTACTACTCTGTGCAGACCACTGAGGGAGAGCAGATAGCTCAGCTTATTGCTGGTTACATCGACATCATCCTCAAAAAGGTAACAGTCAACATAATTATGGAACTATTGTGTGTCACATCACTTTTTGTGCAGGTTAAAAAGCAGGGCTAGTGGCACCCCGTTGCCCCAGGGACAACAAAAATTATGTTTTTGAATGAACAGCGATCTTTCCCGGGACGCCATGGGAACAAAAGGACACAGTAAATTCAATATCGACACATCAGGGGAGGCACCCATTGTTTCCCTGATAAAGCTACAATGTGAACAACAATTTGTTGTTGAAAGCAGGAGAGCTAATTAACATTAGCCGTAAGCAGCCATTGGCAACTAACTGCTGACTGATTGAGTTACATTATGATGCATTTATTAATCTCTCTTCAGTAAAAATCAGTATTGGGCAAAGGTAAATTCTAACCCACTAATGATGTAATCAAATGTAATCTTGTAAAGTGTAGTTCTTAGTGAGAAACTTGAATAAATAAAGCTGTTTGACGGAAAAATACAATGTTTTCACAGCAATATAACATAGATATTAGATAGGGAATTACTGTATTATGATTATAACAACAATAACAACAACAAAACATTGTTGTTGGCTATTGGCCAAATTCTTATTTTAAACATCAGTATTGGCTCAGAATGTCGTCCTTAGTCATGAGTGCATTGCTCACATCATTGTAAAATTGTCTTGCTGCTGAAAACAGCTGTTGCAACTGAATGGGATCTTCTTCTACTCTAGACTGTTCTTTCTAACGTATCTAGATAAAAATGTGATAATATATCTACTCTGTTTACATTTGTTGACCACTGTCCTTAAACATATGCATTGTGTTATGGCAGTTAAAACCTGCACAGTGTCTCAAATGTGCCATACAGGTCTTTTCAGCCTGCCTGATTTCCAACCTTTCCTGAATCAGGATTTCTTTCAAATTCCATTTTGTATGGTTCAGTGATCTCCACTGATGTCTCTACTGTCTGTCGGCAGAAAAAGAGCAAAGACCACTTTGGCCTGGAGGGAGATGAAGAGTCAACCATGCTGGAAGACTCTGTATCACCCAAAAAGTAAGTGTGTGTGTTACTCATACAGTATACTATGATTTTTTTCAATTTTAAATACTGTAAATTTGCTACCAGTAAATGGTAAGTAGTTGTAGACATATTCATCAAACTCTCTAAACTGTGTCCCCCTACTGCATAGTTGTTATAATCCAGGGAGACGGGAACAGTTGGTATCTATGCTAATACACTGATCGGGCTGTCCTTGTCCTTTCATGATTAGCATGTGCTCACAGCAGTCAGCAGCAATGAGTGCTTGAGAAACTTCCTCCTCTTCCCAGTTTCCTGGAGAATTGCCTGTATTTAGCATTTAAGTAAGTTCTCTTATCCTTGTCTTTCTAACATCACTTCAGGTCCACAGTGCTGCAGCAGCAGTTCAACAAGGTGGGCAAGGTGGAGACAGGCTCAGTGGCCCTGCCAGCCATCATGCGCTCAGGAGCTGGGGGTCCAGAGAGCTTCCAGATGGGCTCCATGCCTCAGGCCAAGCAGCACATCACCAGTGGACAGATGCACAGAGGACACATGCCTCCACTGGTAAGACAAACACAAACATTCCAAAGGTTTTGAGAATTAGCCATACTGTGATTGGAAATGTCTGCATCTGTCCTTAACTGGTTAGAACTTTACAAGTTTACAAATATGTCATGAAACCTATGATGCATTTGAAAGGACAGTTGTACACAAGGCAAGATCGTTGAGAAGGATTTAACCACAAACAGAATAATAACTTTTTTATGCTTCCATGCTGGCAATAGCTGTGGCCAAGGGGATTTCTAAAAAAACTAAATCTAAATCTAATCTAAAATGTCCACTTGGACTCAACGAATGAAGCAATCAGATTTTGGTGGGCATGGTCAGTGTTACCTTGTGCCTGTTTTATTCTTGTGAACATGATATCTCAACGAGGCCTCGAAGGAATTTCCTCAAATTTGGCACAGAAGTCCACTTGGATGCAAGGATGAACTGATTACAATTTAGTGGTCAAAGGGCAAGATCACTGTAACCTTGCGTCAATGCAACAATGAATCCCGCTACTTTAAAGTTTTGATATGAAACTATTTATTTGTCAGGTGTTTTCAAGGATTTATGTCTACCCTTTCTGTGGCTCAGAGCTGATAGCCACAGACAGGGTAAAGAGACCGGCTAACATTGTTCGATTTGTGTGTTCACAGACCTCTGCACAGCAAGCCCTGACTGGAACCATTAACTGCAGTATGCAGGCTGTCCAGGCTGCCCAGGCATCTCTGGATGACTTTGACACCCTGCCCCCACTGGGAACAGATGCTGTGAGACTGAACTTTGCTTTACTCTGTGTACAAGTGGATTCATTTGAGTGCTAATATAATTATGTATGAGTATGAGATCTACATCTTTGTGACCAGACAGTGTTTTTTTAAGGCATCCCAAGCATGGCGCAAAAACAAGATGGATGAGTCCAAACATGAGATCCATTCCCAGGTGGATGCCATCACAGCAGGCACCGCCTCCATGGTCAACCTCACAGCAGGTAGAAACACTGGACTTCACCATATTCTCTAAAAACCCCCAAAATATGTGTTGGGAACATATTTTTAGGTCTCACATGGCGGCACCAAATATGTAGTGATCAACATATTAGGCCTCACCAAGGGACATCAAATATGTAGGGATTTAAATTTGGGCTTCACACGGAGACACCAAATATGTTGGGTTCAGTTCACTAAATAATGTGACTTAATTAACATTAAATCACCTTGTGGGGCACCATTCCCATAAAGGGAAAAATGATAGCCAGTTAAAGATATCAGTCTCATAAAATATGCTAAACTATTAATTTGGAGTTGTGATTAATAATTAAATTAATGACAATAACCAAAATTAACAGTAAAGCCTGAAGGAGTTCTTGACGCAGCAGAGATTGACTATTCATTTACTGTTGTGCAACCTTAAACACACAGCAGGTATGATTCCAAAGAATTATATTTATTCACACACTAGCAAAGCAAACCAAAACACACAAATTCTAACTAACTATATACAAGCTTGGTGTGTGTGTGTGTGTGTGTGTGTGTGAGAGAGAGAGAGAGAGAGAGAGAGAGAGACAAAGGCAGGTGTGGTGATCAAAGAGCCATTTGGCCTACAAAACAAAATGGCTGACAACAGAGAACTACAAGATGGCCGAATCAAAGTTGGCTTCAGGTCCGGGGAGGTGTTTGTCTGATCGTGTGGTCAGGACAAAGACAAAGGAAAAGAAGCGGGGACTTTGAGATGCCTGTTTGGGTGTAGCTCTGTTGAGAGCCTATTTGTTAATGAGTCTATGTAGCATAGATGTAAGCATCTGGGCTGGTCCAGGCCCAGCCGGAAAGAGGTGTGGGCTGCTCCGCAGTTCCCGAGTAAGAGAGAGGGCAAGACTGTTTGAAAGGAGCAGAACTTAGCTTACAGTTTGGTAACTTCACAGAAAAGCATGTCACTGTAACAGTACTGTCCAATCAAGCTTGACGACTGGTGTCTCACTGAGGTGATGAGACATCCTGGAGATGGTTGTCAGATAGCTCTCTTTGTTTGAAGACAAAGAGCATGCAGAGAGGAAAAGCCTGTCCAGTTTAGATTTTAACAAATGACAAATCATATGTGGTCCTGTGAATCCCAACAATCATCTTAAAGAGCATGTTCTCACCTTGCTGCAGTGATGTAGAAAAGGGTGTGTGATAGGGATGTCCCGATCCGATATTCGGATCGGTATCGGCCGCCAATATTAGCAACAAACGGGCATCGGGACCGGATCGGACTTCATGGAGAAATGCCGATCCAAGAACTCCAGTTTTTCACGAAGTCCGCTCCAGGTTTTCCGGCCAGCTCAGCGCTCCACGAGTCAAGCAGTCCATTCCAGTGATCCGCTCCAGCTCTTACTATCAATACAACAGGCCAGCATGCAGACGGCAGACACAGGAGGGTAGGAAGAGTAGCAGTCAACTTAGTTAACTGACTATTTGTTTTCTGCTCTGTTTTTTTGAGAGTGATATTTTTATTTGGTTTACACTCTTACTGTTTAAGTAAAGAGCACTGATGGCATTGTTTTGGGCACAATTAGTGAAATTGGAGCCATGGATGGACTACAAAAACACTACTAAAATAACTGAAAAGGAAAGACTGCATTGTTTGTTAAATGCCAACAATGTCTTGTGGTGTTAATCTTTTTTTTATTTATTAGGGGGCCAAAGCACGTGTGTGGAGTCTTGCTGCTATTTTAATTTCATTGTTAGACATTTTAAAGATTTCTTGTGTTGATTTATTTTCTATTTATTAAGGGACCAAAGCAGCCAAGGCAAACCAGCTATATTTTTTATTTAATGTTAATGTTCAAATTTAAAGTTTGTTTATTTAACCCTGTTAACAATAAACAGGTCAGTTTCTCATACCAACTGTTGTGGATCATTCTAACTAACCCGATTAAGTAGTTGTTCTTGTTAGAGTAATATTGCTTGATCAAACCTTTTCTAACATGACTGACAACAAAATAAGTGAATATGTATAATCAGATCGGATAATTGGATCGGATTGGTATAGGTATCGGCCAAAACTCAAGGCTGTAATATCGGTATCGGATCGGAAGTGTAAAAACTGGATCGGGACATCCCTAGTGTGTGAGTACACTGTGTCATCGTGATGGGTACAACAGACTGGAAAATTGTAACCAGAGAGGGCAGTGAAACACTGCATTTCATTTACTAACTTGAAACCTATACATCTACTGTAGTGACATGCGGTACATACATGAAATACTACAAAACTGTCATTTTAGTATTGCTTAAAGGTCCAGTGTATAGCCTTTATTGACATATAGCAGTGAGGTTGTAGAGCGGAAACTTCTTGCATGTGCCAAACGTGTAGGACAACTACACTGGCCCCGCGAAAATGCAAGTGGCCCTATCTAGAGCCATTGTTGGGTTTGTCTGTTTTGTGCTACTGCAGAAACAACATGGTGGACTCTGTGGAAAAAGGGCCTGCTCTTTATGTAAAAGTCAACAGCTCATTGTGGGTATAGGATATAATGATGACGTAATGACGTTATATCCAAAAGGCTGCTTAGATTCAATGACGAACTGATTAGATTTTTGTGGTGAAAGGTCAAGATCACTGTGACCTTGCATAGATCTCATTTGCACGATTGCGATATCTCAAGAACACCTGGAGGGAATGTCTTTAAATTTGGCACACACATCCACTTGGAATGAAAGAATAAACTTATTAGAATTTGGTAGTTGAAGGTTAAAAGTCAAGGTCAGTGTGACCATACAAATCACGTTTTTGGCCATAACTCAGTAATTACACTAATTATGACAAAACTTTACACAAATGTCCGATGGGATAAGATAATGAAGTGATGACATTTAATATTCAAAAGGTCAAAGGTCACCTTCACTGTGACATCACAATGTTATGCAAAAACACTTCTGGCCATTATTCAACAGTATATCTCAGGAACAGAAGGGGAGACATTTGGTCATTGGGAGTGTCACCTGAATTGGTGGTAATTAGGCACTGCCACTCAGATGTGATAGGTTCAGACTGAACCCATGTTGGACTCAGTCTGAACTTATCACCAGTGGCGGCTCCTGCCAAATTTCTCGGGGGGGGGGGCAATTGTTATGATGATCGCTGATGTGACCCGTTCGATGGGTAAATTTGAATTAATTTGGCTCTACAATGACTGAACAATCCACTGTGGTCATCAACAGACTACTTTTCAACAGTTTGCCCACACAAATACCTTTGAATGTGAACAGAGACCTGTTTTACCATTAATCAAATAAAACTGAGTAAGGTATTCACTGAGTCATTGTCAGTCTTAATCAGAAAACATTTCATTATAGCTAAGTGGAAATTCATTTAGTGTTCTAATTAAATGCAGGCATACCCTACAACTTAATACAATGCACATCACATAGTATCACTGCTCTTTGACCTGATCTGAATGTTTTTTTGTTGTTGTTTTTCAGTTTCAGTTATATATTTGGGGGGCATTTTGGGCATTGGGGCACGTGTCCCCATCAATGTATATGGTGACTACGGCTCTGTCAGCATGCATAATTAGGCTACTGTTGTCTGGGTGCACAAAGGTGAAGTGTGCTGGTCTTGTCATACAAAGTTTGATGGAGTGTCAACTGGACAATATGGAGATATTTGCATCTTGAAAGCCGGACTACAAATGTGGATAGACAGGGAGAAACACACGCAAGCCTAAGACGTGGTAAGATACGATATTCCTCACTGTATGAAGTGACTAATACCAAGATCTGTATAATGGGTTGTAAAGAAATTCGTCAGGTTTTTATTTTGTAGACACTTGATCTGTAGCCTATTTATAGCGTGATGGGATGACAGCACAATGATGTGTGTGATCACTGGAAAGCTCTGGTCCTGCGCTGTGGTTCCGCTGTTTCACGTGATGTGTGGCTTCTTGCTAATGGTCGCGGAGAATATCCAGAGAAGAACAGGTGTGAATTTGGGCGCACTATGTGTTGTTACTTTATAACCTATATGGTTAAAAAGCCTCTTGGATCAGCTGGAAACTTTAGCCATGTTGATCTTGGATGTGACCGCTGCGCAGTGGCGCTGCCTCATGTGATGTCGGAATAATCAGAAAAATGATTTTCCGACTGTAAAGCAATATTTCAGTGGAAACGGTTGACGACGTGTTTTTTAAACATTTTGAGTGATAAAATACAACACATCTTATTTGTAATGTCCATGATGTCTCCACATCACCACCTAAACGCTCATGAACACACGATGAAGTAAGAATGACTTCCCGTCATGGGAAATTGGACCATCCGAGGAGCACATGAATGATACTTGGTGGTTTACTCCCGTAACCCATAGAGATTGCATTGAAGTGCCTGCATTTAGGAAAAAAAAGCAATTTACATGGAAGTCTATGAGAGTGAGTCGGGGCGATTTCCAGCCAGGCTGATATCGCCCCAAAGGGCCGGAACGCGACTTCACACTGCATCTGATTGGATATTCAGAGGCAGAGGAGCTGTTTCAAGTGAAAATGATAAGAATAATTAATATATTGTGTGTATATATGACAATAATGATGATGATAATCATACATTTATCATCATCTTTCTTTTCTTTTGTGGCTCAAGGAGGGGCGGCACCCTATCGCCCTCTATTGGCCAGCCGCCCCTGCCTATCACATCTGAGTGGTCAGACAAGGTGATAACGACTATAAGGCAAGCTAAAGCCAACTTCTTCATCAATACTATTGAAGAGGCAAGAGGGAATGGGAAAGAAATCTGGCAAAACATCAACAAGCTGATTGGCAGAAAACAGAATCACAACAATAAAGAATTAGAGCTGAAGATTCATTCTGAATTAGTCACAGATCCGAAAACCATAGCTACAGAATTAAACACCTTTTTCTAGACTTTTTGATTCACCCAACTACCCTCCTTACTCCATAAATTATGTACAGCCGGTTTTCCTTTTAGAATAAATAACTGAAACAGAAGTAGCGAATGC